TAGCAAGTCCATAGAGAAGGAACAGGAATGGGAGGGGTTTCATCGTAGCACAAGAATTGATAAGCATATAAATGGACATCCCAAAGATGGGAAAAGATAGGAAAAGGGGAATGACGGATATCCATATTGTTAGCTTACGTTGAGCCATTTTCTCATAAATTTGCTTTCTGAATAGAGTGCGTTTTTTATTGATTGGTGCTGGTATCATTTCTTGTTCTCCATATTTATAAGGTAGGTGCATGTTGGAACGCTGCATTTGATTACTAGTCAATTCTTTATTTATACGTATTTAAATTTTAAAAAAAATCAACTAATAATATTACTTCAACAAAAGTGGTGCACAAAGACGTAACTCAATAATTACTCCGTGACTATAATGTCATTCAAATTATAATTAGTCAGTAATAGTCACATTTTTAGATATTCATAACTTTTTTTTATTAATAGTATTTTATGAAAAGCCTCTTAAATTATTCAATTGCAATATTTTATATTATTTTATGTGTACAAGGTATGTACGTTGAGTGTACCATAGAATTTGTCTATTTATAATCCACATATATGAGAATATAGGGGTAATATTGGGTAATTATAATTGGGTGAGGGATGAGCATGAAAGTCGTACAAGTGTCTTTTTAACAAATTCTAAAATTAGTCTCATTTTTGTCTATAAGTTTTTATTTAGTATTATTGTTGTTAAACCCCATTACTTATAGTCTTACTTTTGTTACCCTGGGGTTACTTAGGTTTAAATATTGACTTCTTATTTACCACTCACACGGTCACGCCTGTCCTTTTGATGAACTAAATTTTACTTTTACTCAGTTGATATATACGTTTTTCAAAAAGTAAATGATTTGGGAAAAAATGTAAACAAATGTTGCAAAGGACCTGCATGATGTTCCCCAGCTTTCAACTTTCCAGGCCATACACCACGTCCAATTACCAGGTACTCCGAGAGGCGTATTATGTGACGTAGCGAGAAGAATAAATAAGCCCAATTCGATACAAACAAACTGAATAAATTTTTAGGATGTTTTTATTTGGATTGTTTTCGGTTTCAGATCAGAACAGATTTAAACAAATCAGATCAGCCTTAAACGGACCAGACAAGACCAGACTTGACTTCCGTAGTTATAAAATACACAAAGACAAGACGTTTACCAGACCAGATCAGATCAGATTTAAATAGACCATACCAGCAAAGTACATTCCAACTAAAAACATCTTAGAAGAGGGTATAGTGGTCCTCCTCTTACTTCCTATTGATCTTTTTTTTTGGAAATTTAAATAAAATTTCTCTTTTGGTTCCTGAGTTAATTTTTAGTACTCCATACTACCTCCGTTCTTAATTAAGTGCAACATATCAAATTTTACTCTATTCGCATGTTCTACTTTGACTACATTTTATTTATTGATGTATTGATATATATTTTTAAAAAAATTATTACCAAACTTATCTCATTGTAAGTTCTCTAAATCTGATTTTTTAAAATTTCTTTACTAATAGAGGGTTATATTTAATAATGGTCAAAGTTGTACCTCGATGAAGTATTGACTGTTGCACTTATTTAAGAATGGATGAAGTATTATTTTTGAATTGTCATATTCTTAATTTCGTGATTGGGAATCTCCTTTACCACCGACTACAGTACCCTAAAGTTGTTGTACATAAACATAAGCCCTAGTGAAGAACCACTTGTTAACAAATTAGAATATGTAGGTGGAATAAAAGGGTAAGATTTCAAAACACTTATTTTCGTCATTTGTGATCTCATTCAGTATTTCAGTATTTAGAAATGTCACTTTATAAAAGGTTTTGAACCCGTAATAATAGATACCATGTCTAATTGGTCGATCAATAAGAGCTATGGAAAAAAAGTTACTATTCTCCGAGTTTCCAAAAATGAGACTAAAAAATGCTTAGGGGACTATTGTACCCTTACACTAATTTAATCTCACTCTTTAGATCTACAGTAACGTCACAATGACCAGAAACAGTATCGTGCCCAAAGTTCGTCAGTGACAAAAAATCCAAAGTTCATCTGTGACCAAAATCATTAGTGATAAAAAATCCGTCTAGTGACCAACGTCCACCCGTCTTTTGACTAACTTCCACCCGACCAGTGCCTAACGTCCACCCCTCCAGTGATAGTTATTCAACATATCAAGTTATTGGCACCCCACCCGTCTAGTTGCAGTTACCCGACCCATCCGTCTACCGTTATCTGACCCGTCCAATTACATTTATCCTATCCGTTCAATTACAGTTACAATTACAATTATTGGGGTCATCCATTTACAATTACCCGAGTATAATAATTATAGCTTACCACCACATCCCGCCATTGTCGTCGACCATCACCGCCACCACCGGCGACTGCCATTGCCGATGACACCCATGCCACCTTCGGCCACTGCCGGCAACCACCGCCGCCAACACCATTCAAAGGTTCACATCCACTATTCACATGGTCAACTTAAATCATTCTTAATCTTTTCTTTATATATAAAATCTTATGTATTACTACCACCGTCCCATTCAAAGATTCTCGTCCACTATTCACATGGTCAACTTAAATCATTCTTAATCTTTTGCTTTATATATATCAGATTTTTATCACATTTACATTTTTTTTATCTGGCTTTGTAGCGGTTTTAATGTAGTTTCTGAATATGTAAATTTTATTTTCTAAAAAGAACCAGAGTGTGCACAGGAATGAAGTTGTTTTATCATGAGTCAAGTATCGTTGATAGAGTAAATGGGCTCACACCTCATGGCCCACATACTCAGAAGGTCAAAGCACCAAGATAGTGTCCACGTGGCACCCTTTGGCCAGAGGCGACCGCATCGGCCAGAGGCAAGAGTGTCCAGAAGATCGCCTGAAGACATAGTGGACCCCGCGTCGGCTAGGAGCACGCATCGGCCAGGGTCTTCCCCTGACAGAATGTATATTCCTATCTTTTTTACTAAGTATTGTACTAATCCCATTAGAGGCCTTATTCCGCCCAAAGAATGCATGATTATTGTAATGGGCCTCCTAAGCCTATGGCTAGGAGCCCAAATCCACATTTACTCCTATAAATACTCTCCTTGAGGGTAGTTATAAGGGGTTGAGAAATATTAAGGTTTAAATATGTTTTTAGTCCTTGCAAATATAGTACATTTTGTTTTACATCCCTGTAAAATTATTTTTTTGTTTTTCGTCCCTGCAATTTATGTTAGTTTTCTTTTTGGTCCATCGCCGATGATATCAACATTCGTTTGATCTGAAACTAATCCCGACTAATAGATTTCCTATAATCCATTGTCATGTTATTTCAAAAGTATTTGATTTTATTTTTTTAAGCCTTCTAATATACATTTTAAAAATGTGAATATTTAGTTTTACATTATTTTAGCTCTCATATTAGCCTCAAAAAAATTATTAAATGATAAGTTTAAATATTTCTAGTGGATTTATGCAACTCACAATAATTGTTTTTCTAAGTAGAGTTGTTTTGGAATGAGACAAGGACCAAAAACAAATTAGGGCATATTACAGGGATGAAAAAACAAAAAAATATTTTGCAGGGACCTAAAACAAAGTGAGTCATATTTGCAGGGACCAAAAACATATTTAAGCCAAATATTAATTGTTCACTTTCTCTCTCTAGCTCTCACTTCTCTCTAAAATTAAATACTCTATCAATCATAAACTGTAACGGGAAGTCGAGAACCTCTCTATGGGATGGAGGGAGTATATTTTTAAAAAATATAATGCTTAAAAAATTAAAAGGATTGTGCACTGGTAGCTATATATTATACTTAAATAAGTATTGTACCGCAAATTATACCGTATGACCGGTATACGGTGAGCACCGCATACCGGTATACGGACTTCTTTATTTTTTATTCCTTTTGTTTTTAAAAAATGGTACTCCCTCCGTCCCACTTTAAGGTTTCCACACGATTTACGATGTTTGACTAACCATAAAGTTAACTGATCCATGTCATTAATAGAATTATTTTTAGTAAATAAAATTTACATATTCAGAAACTACATTAAACCCGCTATAAAACCTGCAAAAAATAATTTAAATTTCATAAAATTTTGATATATAAAGTAAAAGAATAAGAACAATGCACGTTGACCGGAGAATAGTGTACGGGAACCTTTAAATGGGACGGAGGGAGTAATAACTTTTTCATTTTTGATCCGATTTTTATAAAATTTACATCAACATTTTTTATTTTTCATGATCTTTCAAATGAGACCAATATTGCTTATGTAATTTTAAGAAATTATCGAACTGTTATATTAATGAGTATTGGATTATAAGGAAAATCGAACTAAATTTAATACAGAAAAATAATTGTGTAAATCACAATTTATCTTAAAATTGTGTATATAAAAAAATTTATTTTATTATGTATTTATACATGTGAGTTACATATTTTCATACGTAAAGTTACATATTTGTACACATAAAGTTACATATTTATACACACGAGTTGCATTTGGCCTGCCTGAACGCGAGTTACATATTTGTACACGTAAAGTTACATAGTTTTACACGTAAAGTTACATATTTATACACGAGTTGTATTTGACCTGTCTGAACGCGAGTTACATATTTTTACACGTAAAGTTACATATTTTTACACGTAGAGTTACATATTTATACACACGATTTGCATTTGGCCTGACTGGACGTGAGTTACATATTTCTACACGTAAAATTACGTATTTTACATAGGTTAATATAATAGTTCGATAATATGTTAAAATTACATAGGCAATATTGGTCTCATTTGAAAGACATGAAAAATAAAAAAAATTGATATAAATTTTATAAAAACCAGATCACAAATGAAAAAGTTATTATAATTTTTAACAATAAGAGAAATAAATAAATAATAGGACTTACTATCATTTTAATACATATTTCATGCGGAGCTTCCAAAAATGACTAAAATCGTATGCCGGTATACGGTATAACAACTGGTATTGTACGTAGTACGTAGTATTTAAAAGGAATGTGTTTTGAGAACTATAGAAAATGTACACACTATTTATGAAATGTGCATGCTGTAGTGTGAAAAAGGACAAACTTAAACTATACTACGTACGTATATGCCAGAATGCCAGATGTATCGGACATCCAAACAAACTGCTAAATATGGGCAATATATGTCCTTGTTTGGGTCAAATATCCCATTCATCATCCATGAAAGACTCACACTTAAAACACATAAAGGCACAAACAAGAACTGATACCACAAAGGTAACAATCATAGTGATATTTGCGATTATCAATTTCTTCCTCATATCGGCCAGTACTCCCGCTTTACAAGAATCACAATTGAAACAGAGCTTGCTTTGGTCATTGTTCCACTTCTCACAGTCACCGTCTGGTGTGGCAGCGGTTTGGTTGTTTGTTGTAGCAGCTACCCAATACGTTGGGGTCACAAAAGTGAAGCCACATTTTGCAGGAGGGACACAACATCCAGACTGTCAAATAGCACGTTGTCAAATTCACTACAAGAATCTCGCAAATCAGTGGCGGATTTTTGTGACGGAAATGAGTCCGACAGTATTTAGTGTCGGAATTTAATGGGGGCTTAACTCCGCCGGTATTTAGTGGCGGATTTTTCGCCAGTAATTACCGTCAGTAAACATTGACGGAAATATATCCGCCATTAATATCCGCCAGTAATTTAAAAAATTAAATACTCCCTACCAACTCATCCTAACTCCACACAATCTTTATCCTCACATCTCACTCGACATGTTCTCTTCAGCAGCTCCAAACTCGAAATCTCAGGTTAGCTAGAACTCTTACCTTTTTTTAAAAAAATTAAAGTTATATATTCATATTTAATTTAGGGAAAGTTCCCGAAATAGGACTAAAACAGTTTGGAAATTCCAAAATAGTACTGTCATGTTTTTTATTCCCAAAAAAGGAGTGATTACTGCCAAGTTTGGAAAATACTGCCATGTTTGAAGTCTGGTACTGCCAAAACATGACAATAATTAGTCCTATTTTAGGAATAAAAACATGGAAGTCCTATTTTGGAATTTTCAAACTTTTTTAGTCCTATTTTGGGTAATATCTCTTTAATTTATAAATTAACTTGTCATGTGCATATATTCTTATATATATGATAGAGAAGTTTTGTCCTTGTTTGTTTGATTTCCTTATTTTTTTTAAAATAAAATTCAACTATGTTTGTGTTAATTACAAGATTGAAGATTATTGTTAAAAAATAAATATAGGAAATTACTGGTTGTTCAAGTTATATGTGTTGAATGAAATTCAATAATAGATATATGTTTATTGTAATATTTATAAAAAAAATCGAGATAACATAGTAACAAAATAAAATCTATAATGTATATGGTAACTTAAATTCTAATTCACATTAATGACTTAAGAGAAAATTTGGAAATACTTTATTCATAATATATATACATTGCTAGTTTAATTAGTTTATTCAATGAAAATGTAATGTATGTCGTTTTTTGTTTAGATTTCAGTATGAGTAATAATAAGTCATGGATGTACAAAAGACTAGAGAGACGAGGATGTCTAAATGATGATTTCAAGGAAGGTGTAAATGAGTTCATTCAGACAACGCTAAATTCATATTCCAGCGGTGTCATTGCATGTCCCTGTAGAAAGTGTAAAAATCGAAAATGGTTGACTTGGGATATTGTTAAGCAACACCTATTTGAGAAAGGTTTTGTTGAGGACTATTATGTATGGGCAGCACATGGAGAGACACCCAATTCAAATGGTCTGGTTTATTTTGATCAAGCTAACTCCTCGTATTGTAATGCATCTGAGGTCCAATATGATCCATACAAATCAATGTTTGATGATGCAGTAAGGAATGAATTCCCAACAGAAAATCAAGGCGATTTTCTTGTGAATGATGAGCCTAGTGCAGCATCCAAGAAGATGTATGAGATGCTAGATATGACGAATCAACCATGCTTTGAGGGTTGTCCAATGACTGAGTTGAGCGCAATGACTGAAATGTTGAACATAAAGACTGAGATGAATCTATCTGAGGCTGCCACAGACAGGATTGCTCAATTTGTGAATAGATTTTTCCAAACTAAAATCCCCAATAGGCCTATACCAAATTTCAACAAAATAAAAAGGAAGTTATCATTGTTGGGAATGACAAGCCAGTCTATTGATTGTTGCCCAAAAGGGTGCATGATATATTGGAAAGGAGACAATGAGCTAATGGAGTGCAAGTTTTGCGGTGGTGCAAGATACAGGATCAGTAAGCAAACAAAAAAAGCAATTCCACTTACAAAAATGGAGTACTTCCCACTTACTCCTAGATTACAAAGGCTTTATGCATCAGATACTACCGCAGAGAAAATGAGGTGGCACAAAGTTCACCATAGAGAAGAAGGAGTTATGCGTCATCCATCGGATGCAAAGGTGTGGATTCATTTTGACAATCTCCATCCAGATTTTGCTGAAGACCCGAGAAATGTTAGGCTTGGTTTATGCAGTGACGGGTTCCATCCATTTGGACAATTTGGTCAGAAATACTCTTGTTGGCCTATCATAGTGACACCATACAACTTGCCACCAGGTACGTGTATGAAACAACAATTTTTATTTTTGTCTATATTGGTACTTGGACCAAGAATTCCAACAAAGAGGATAGATGTGTATTTGCAACCATTGATAGAAGAGTTGAAACAATTGTGGGAGGTTGGGGTTGTAACGTATGATGCATTCTCAAGGGAGAATTTCAATATGCGAGCTATGTTGCTATGGACAATAAGTGATTTTCCCGCATATGTCATGCTTTCTGGATGGAGTACAAAGGGAAAATTTGCATGTCCATGTTGTACTGAGTTTACTGAAGCATTTTGGCTATACCATAGCAAAAAACATAGTTGGTTTGATAATCATAGAAAGTTCCTACCAAGTGATCATCCATTTCGGTTTGATAATGTGAACTTTACTAAGGGAAAATCAATCTTCTATGGCCCTTCCGTTAGCAAGAGATGGTTCATACTGCTATGATGAGGTCAGTTCCCTGATGTCTGTGACTGAAGTAGGAGGTATTGAGCATAATAAAATAGTTGGACGAGATATTAGATGGAAGAAACGTAGTATATTCTGGGATCTCCCATATTGGAAGGATTTGCTTATACGACATAATCTCGACGTGATGCACATAGAGAAGAATTTCTTTGAGAATATGTTTTATACAATTTTGGGGGTGCCAGGAAAATTGAAGGACCATGCTAAAGGGAGAATGGATATGGAACAAATTTGCCATAGGCCGAGTATGGAGAGGGACGGTAATGGAAAATTCCCTAAGGCTCCTTTTACTATTTCAAGTGAGCAAATGACAGTGTTATGCAATTGGGTTGATTCACTGAAGTTCCCAGGTGGCTTTGCATCTCGGTTAGGACGTTGCATAGAAATTGAAAAACTTAAAGTGTTTGGCATGAAGAGTCATGATTGTCATGTGTTTATGCAACGTTTAATTCCGATTGCTTTTAGAGAGATGTTACCTGCTTCGGTTTGGGAGGCAATCACAGAGATTAGCTTATTCTTTCGTGAGTTAACAAGAAAGAGTATCACCGTTTCTGACATGGAGAAGCTAAAGGCAGATATTCCCATTATTCTATGCAAGTTGGAGAAGATTTTCCCACCATCATTCTTTGACCCCAGTGAACATCTTGTAGTACATTTACCAGATGAAGCTTTGTGGGGCGGACCTCCACAGTATCGTTGGATGTATCGTTTTGAAAACTTAGTGTCTTTTACTTTTTCTCTTTCAATTACTATAATCTTTTATAAATTTGACTTCATGTCTTAAGCGTTATCATTGACATAGTTTCCTAGGATCAGTGTTGAAGACAAAAATTGGAAACAAGGCAAGAGTTGAGGCCTCGATCAGGGAAGGTTATTTGCAAAGTGAGATGGGTACATTTGCGAGTTACTATTTCCCGGAGGAAGTGGTTACAAAAGAACGCCGTGTGCATAGATTGGATGATGGTTTCTTTATTAATGAGGATGCTAGTGCTTCAATTTTTGCACAAAAGGCAAAAGCAGTCGGTGCCCGCACGCGGCGACACATGAACCAAAATGAATCCAGTGTAGTTCACTCGTATGTGTTGCTAAACTGTGTAGAAATCCAATCATTCCGAGAGTAAGTCATACTATTCTAAGCATTGTTTTGTCATATTTAATGTGATATGATATATTGAACGTACTTATATTTAACCGTGAGTGTGGTCTTTTATTACAGGATGTTTATCAATACAACAAGATTAACTGCTTCTGAGCAAGCCCAACTACAAGCGAACTTTCCTTTATGGTTTTACCACTACGTGAGAATCTAAACTACCTTATTTACTTAAATAAAGTTCAACTACAGACTGTATAGAGTTATTATACATTGCATGTGTTAAGATTTTGTGCTTTGTTTAGGTGGAAAACGACACAATAGATCATCCACGATGGCTTCGTGCTTTATCTAGATTCCCCTCTCCATATGTGACTACTTACCAGACGCTTAACATAAACGGCTATAAATTTAACACTATTGAGCATTCTGAAGACAGGGTTACATGTAATTGTGGGGTTATGGTGAAGTGCACCGGTTTTGATGGATCGAGGCTCGATTAGTATGGATTGATACAAGAAATTATTCAGTTGGAATATCAAGAATACAAGGTACTTGTTTTCAAATGTAAATGGTTTGATCCTTCTGATAGAGGTACACGAGTCCATCCATTATACAACATAGTTAATGTACAAATGCAACACGTACTTCGTACTCCAGATTGCTATATTTTAGCATCACAGGCCGATCAAATTGTGTATGTACCGTATCCGAGTGCAAAGAGGAAGGTCAACAGATGGCAATCTGTTGTTCAATGCATGCCCCGAGCTTTTATTCCATATTAATCAGTTTATCAAATGAGATTTTAGTCCATATTACTCCGTAATAAGTAAGAATATATGCAATACTTGACAGATTATAATAGCAACCAATTAACATATACAACTTATTCATGCTTAATAAACACTTTTTTTTACATTTCCATAGTTTTCAATAGCAACTTGCAGGCTTGTATTTAAATTATTTCCTCGATTATGAATATTTGTTCACTTCTTGTACCGAATATTAACTTGTCGCTCTACAGCTACATAATGTATATATATGATAGAGTATTAATTCTAGAGAGAAGTGAGAGCTAGAGAGAGAAAGTGAGTAACTATATTTCTCAACTTGGAACCCCCTATAATTAGCCCCTTGGGGTCTATTTATAGGTAAAAATGTGGATTTGGGCCCCTAGCCTTGGGCTTAGGAGGCCCATTACAATAATCATGCCTTCTTTGGGCGAAATAGGGCCACTAATGGGCTGTGTACAATACTTAGTAAATACAACGAAAAATACATTCTGCCAGGATGAAGTCCGGACGATGCGGTCCATGGTGCGGTCCTGGACGATGCAGTCCCTGGACGATGCGGTCCCTGGACGATGCGGATCCTGGGCTTCGTCATATAATCCAGGAGCTATCTCCTTCCTTGGACGTCGCGTGCCTTTGGCCGATGCGGGTGTCCAGCTGGTGTCTTTTGGGCTGTTGAGTATGTGGGCCATGGGGTCCAGGCCCATATACTCTATCAGGAGTCCCCCACTCTCTGAGCTGAGGTGAAGCCGAAGCGAAAGGGAGTACTTTGTTCCTTTCTGGCTGGCCGTTGCGTGAGCCTAAGGCGCTTGGTGGCCGAAGAGTTTCTGCTTCGATTTTGGATGAAGCGGTTCCTTTATTCGATGTAGATGAAGCGCGCTTGGGAATTCATAACCTTGGTGCGGGCCGATGCACTCTTTGTGGAAGTGCTTTTGAAGACGAGGCGATGCGCCTTTCCTTTTTGTAGGTGATGTGATGAATTCTGGTGTGGATAAGTTGGCATGCTTTCATTGTCACCTTGTTGGGATCGAAGAGCTCCCATCTATTCTTTTGGCCGTAGCGATGACATATTTTCATGAGATAAGATGGTTGATTCCGCTTATGTAGACGATGCGATGCGCGCCTCTGATTTACCATGTAGCCGAAGCGTTTGACTTGTGGGTTCTTGCTTTGGTGAGCCGACGCAGTCCCTCTGGTGTGCGCAGCCGTTGCGCGCTTGATCTTGCATTTTGGGTTTTTAATTTTTGGGCTCTGTGGCCGATGCGATCCGTAATGCCTACGAGGTGAACTGTTTGTTTTTTGTTTATCGGGGAGCCGTAGCGTTTTCTTTCCTTGTAGCCGATACAGTCCCCCAGTCCCCCACTCCTTTGGCCGAAGAGTAGTTGAGGCACAAGGGAGTCATGGTGTACCCAAGTCGATACGGTACCCTTGCGCTAGTCATGAATCCAACCCTTAGGCGAACCTGTCCAAGGTAACCCTGTGGGAGAACCCTTGGACGAAGGCCGCAATACCAGGGTCATCATCAAACGATGTGCGCGTGAGTAGACGTAGCGGTACTTGTGGTTCTTGGGGTTGCTTTGGGGCCGTAGCGTGTTTTGCTGATGCGGCCGTGTCTTTCCTTGTGTTTGGAGACGATGCGTTCCATTCCTCATTCTTTCCTTGTGTTTGGACGAGGCGTTTCACTTCTTCTGTGTGTAGCAGGTAGTCCCCCAGTCCCCCACTCTCTTGGCCGAAGCGTAGCCTGAGGCGTAAGGGAGTGAAGTTCTTTGAGTTTTTAGCCGGGGCGGCCCTGAAGTTGGTAGCCGTTGGGCCGAAGCGGGCTTTTGAGTGCTGTGTTTGAGACGTAGCCGATGCCCTTGCTAATCTGAGTTCAAGTTGGGCCGTAGGGGATACTTCCATGAGTGATATTGAATAGGTGCCTCTTGATTGGTTGTTTGGGGAGGTGGCCGTTGTTGTACCCCTTAATCCCGAAGCCACTTCCTCATTTACGCCTTTGCTGTTGTCGAATTGCTGCCCAAGTCCTTCTAGAGAGAGAAAGTTCAGAGAATTTCCCAAGTGTTCGTCACATTCTTTGAATCTTCAAAGGTTAGATACTCTAATTTTCCTTTGATTTCTTCATATTTTGCTCCTTAGGGTGTTAGATCTAGTGTTCTTTAGGAAAGTCACTTTGATCCGAAAACTACCCTTAGGACGTTGCGATAGTTGTTATGCCGTTCCCTGACGGCCGTAGCGTCCCTTCCCCTATTGATTTGACAGCCTCGCTGGACGAATCGGACTGGCCTTTTGACGAGGACGACGTGTTTCCTCAAGTGGATTTGGACATCGTGGCAGCTTTTGAGATTGAGATGGAGAACACCGCAGACTATCGTACCTCTGTGGACGAGGAGCGTTTGAGTGACGACGCGGGTTCTCAACACTCAGGTGGGGACGAAGCGAGTTCTGAGCCTAAGCTTCGAGAAGACGATGCAGGTGATGCTTCATCAGCCGCCATTCCATGTCCTCCACCCATCTCCTCTGTGCCTGGTGGGGCGTCGTCGTCTGGGGTGGTGAAGAGACGCGCATCGCGGCGGCGGAAAGGGGTATCCGGCGGGCTTTCTCAATTAGATCTGACGAACCTTTACATTATAAGGCCAGAGAGCACCCAAAGCGAATATCAGGTGGCGCAGTTGTACGTAGGCCCCTATGGAAAGGTGAGGGCGCCAAGGCCGACGGACCATGTTCTGAACCCTCCCCCTAGATATTTTGGTGTTTATCCGATGAGCTTTTCTCAGGGTCTGAGATTTCCCCTTCCCCCTTTTGTTGTGGAGTACTTGGGCATGATAGACCTCCCACCGGCTCTGCTGACCCCGAATAGCTATTCCCTTATTGTCGGGTTCCTTATCCGATGCGACGAGCTTGGGATACAACCGACGACGGCGTTGTTCACGAATCTGTACCGGATCGGCCGGGGGAGTCACGAGAATTGTGATGGGTATGCAGCTCTCCAGCAGTTGCCGAAGAAGAGATCCTTTATCGACCTCCCTTCGTCCATCCATGGGTGGAAAAGCAAGTTTTGCTTTGTGAAGTTGGCTGGTGGGGTGTTTTTTCCTTCCCAAGGGCACAACGGACTTTTTAACTTGCACACTCCTCCAAAGAGTGTTGAAATTGATGCCCAAGTGGAGGCGTTTTTGAAGGGCGGGCCGAGGAGTGTGAATACCTACATCACCGAGTTTAAGATAGCTGCTCTTGGGATGATGCGGTACTATATACCAGGTGACCCCGATTGTGGTTTGTGGCCGAAGATGTCTGGCTATTTTGAGCAGGCCGACGGGCCCTATTTTGGTGTTCCGGCCGATGCCGAAGGTTGATTTCTTTCCTTGGGCTTCATTATGATTTGCTTTACTTGTTTTTCTAACTCTTATGTTCTTTGCGTCTGCAGACTTCACCATGAGCCGCAAGCTTTTTATGACACAAGCAAAAAGGATGGTGGATAAGGAAATGCAGGCCGCTCAGGCCGAAGCGTCCAAGGGTTCAGCCGACGGGTCTAAGGACAAGGATGCAGCCGCCAAGAAACCGGCGGTCCAAAAGAAGAAGAAGAGGGGGGCCGAAGGGCAACAGACCCTGACCGAGGCCGGTCTCAAACCGGCAAAGACGGCGAAGACTCAGAAGACTCCTGCCATTGATGCCGATGCGCAGGCTTCGGCCCAAGCTGATGGAAGTCCTGAGGTGCAGGTGATTGAGGACCTGACGGTGAATGTGGCGTCGGCTGCTCTTTCCACCGTGCCTCCTGTTGGTGCCGTTGCCCAGGGAAGCACCCGCTCCGGACGCGACCTGTCCACCGGCCTTTATGAGGTGACGGTGCGCTACCCGGCGAAGGGCGGGTTGTTTAATGAGAGAGTCTCTGGCCATGACGTCCTTTTTCAGGCCATTCCCGACGAGGACAGGGCGTATCTTCGCCGGCAGGGCAAGGAGGTGCGCCTTTTCGATGGTGGGTTGGACTACGTCGTCCAAGTAAGTATATGCTCTTGTGCTTAGTTTTTCTCGCTTTGCTTTCCTTTTCTGACCCTTTAGTTTTTTTTTCATAGGGTGCCTTTATGCTGATGGAGCAGCACCGTCGGCAGGAGGAGGAGATTGCTCGCCTTCAGGAGGCTGAGAAAAAAGCTGCCTCGGCCGATGAGGCCTTGGTTTCCCTGGAGCTTCTCCGATCCGAGGTCCGCTCCCTGAAGGAAATGGCCGATGCGGCTGAAGCACGGGCCGCTGCAGCTGAGGCCAAGTTGGAGGAGGAGGCCGCAGCCCGCCGGCTGGCAGAAGAGGAGGCGGAGGAGGCTATAAAGCTCAAAGCTCGAGCTGAGGAAGCGGCCGAGAAAGCCATTGACCTCTTTATGGCCGAGGGGTGGAAGGACGACGCCCATCGGGAGTTTTGCTTCAAGGTCGTGGCCGACCGCTTCCAGGCCTGGTCGCAAGAAGATCCGGCCGGCCAAGCTTTTTGGAAGCAAGAGATGGAGGTCTTTTATGACCTAGGCCAGCGGCGCATGCAAATGCTGGTCTACCGTAGGCTACGTCGGCGTGAAGAACTTGAGGCCACAGGGTATCGGCCTTCCCAGGCTGATGAAGGACCCTGAAGAGGAGTTGAAGCTTCCACTTGCCGAAAGGCAACGCCCCATTCTAAGTTCTGATGAAGAAGATGGGCCGTGGACCGAGAGTGATGACTACCTCTTTCGGAGCTCGGTTAAGTCAAAAACCGCCGAGGACGACGAGGATGACGCCGATAGTGGGGCAGTTGATGGAGGCCAGGGGCAAGCCGGAGATGTAGCTTGATGCTATGCTTTTTCCTTCTTTTGTTTTTGGACGTAGCGTTTGATAGTATTGTATTGGCCGAAGCGCCCCCCTTTGTAATGGCCGAAGCGCCCCCATCTTTAATCATTAATGACAATACCCTTTTTTGTTCAAGTATGAATGTTTGGTCGCTTCGTCTCTGTTGATTTAAATTCATATGCATCTTTTGATTTTCACAATTTTTTGCCAAGTACTAGGGGTAAGCATACCCCAGCTGGTTTGAGACTAAGCGTTGCTTCGTCTACGTGCCCACGGGGCCCCTTTCCCTTAGAATTTCTGAGTATCATCATCAAGACATGGCTCGCTTGTTTAAGACGCCGCGATCCCTTATGAGTATGGAAACGCAACGGCTCAGGTAAGTGTACGCTTTTGTAGGGATGACGTGTTCCATCGTCTGGGGTGAGACGTAGCCCCAATGTTTCAGAATTTATCTAAGTATCATAATTCCGTTTTGGCGTCTTTTAATAGAGACGTAGCGGTCCCCTTTCCTTTGCTGTCTTTGAAGTCGATGCGCCTCGTCGCCCCTTGGTGGATTCCATTTTTGCCTTAACAAATTTCTCCAAGTCTCGAGTTTTTGGAGCTTAACCTTGAAGTGTTGAGGACGAAGCGATGCCCAGATATGGAATGGTAGCGCATCGTCTCTCTTGTAGTGTGACTTAGAAAATCCTCTAAGTGTCAAACTTGCCATTATGGAGTTGTTTTGCCTTGGTTCGTCACCTGGGTTTTGCTATGTGGAGACGATGCGCCCCATCGTCCAAGTAGTGGAATGTGGTTTTGTATAACCGAAGCCGAAGCGATTCCCTCTTATGAAGCTGTGGTTGAGTCCGAAGCGTATACTTCGGATTCCTGTATTGTGAAAACCTGATATGTACTTAGCCGATTTGAGGCTTGGTTTTTTGTGGGGATTTTGTTTTATGCTCGAGGCCGGCGAGTGCACGGTCCGTCGGCTTCCCTCTTTTTTTTGTTTTTGTTTTTTTTTTTTTTTGGTGGCCGAAGGGTTACTGTCCCTTCGTCCGTGTGCGGTAGTTTGTCCGCTACGCCCTTCGCGTGAATTGGTGCGAGGGAGTAAATACGCCCTCGGCTTGGTGTGTCAGTGGCATCTTTTTTGGCCTTTCCACGTCTATCGTCGAAGAGGGACCGGACTAGGCATCGTCTTTTGACGGCCGCCCTTTGTGGTCCTGAGTGAAATTTTACTGACGGGTGGAGTTTTTGTAACCTCGGCCTTAATTCAGGCTTGTCGTCCTGCGGTTTCCGCGCGGACGACGCGGTATGCTTCTCCGTTTGAAGACGTCGGACCATGCACACAGGTCCTTCGTCCTGCATATCGCCGGCCGATTTGGGTGTTTCACCGCTTGTGCCGATACGATATTTAGGTGCGTTGTCTATGCAACGGCTTTGCAGGCGCGTTGTGGATCGCAACGGCCTTAGGTGCGTTGTGTATTGCAACGGCTTTGGGTGCGTTGTTTATTGCAACGGCTTTAGGTGCGTTGTTTATTTCAACGGCTTCGGGTGCGTTGTTTATTGCAACGGCTTTGGGTGCGTTGTTTATTGCAACGGCTTTAGGTGCGTCGTTTATTGCGACGGCTTTAGGTCGCATCGGACCCGGGTGATTGCGACGGCTTTAGGTCGCATTGGACCCGGGTGATTGCACCGCTTAGGCCGATGCGGTCCTTGGGTTTCTTTTGCTCAAATCTTAAAAGATTGGATGAAACATGAATTTTATTCAATAAGTGGCGCTAGGCCGAGGGTGTTTTATTCAACCAATAAGCCGAGGGGTGGGGGACGTTGCCCGCTTCACCACTTCTCGAGTCATTGGTAAAATTTCACCAGGTGGTGTACATTCCACAATCGTGGTACATCTGACCCATTAGGGTTCTTTAGTCTATAAGTGCCGGCTTTGATGACGGCGCTGACGATGTAGGGCCCTTCATATTTGACGGCGAGCTTTCCTCCTTCCGTCGGCTTGCTTGCTTCTCTTCGGCGGAGGACGTAGTCCCCCACTTGGAATTCGCGGGAGCGGACCTTGGCGTCGTAGTAAGATTTGATTTGTCGTGTGTAGTTCTCTGCCCGAAGGTAAGCCATCTCCCGCCTTTCATCAATGAGGTGCAAGTCAATCTTCTTGGCTTCTTCATTGGCTTCAGGGTCGTATTGTGTGACCCGTCGGCTGGGGAGGGTGACTTCAGTGGGAGCCTTGGCTTCGAAGCCGTAGCACAAGGAGAATGGTTTCTCCCCGGTGGCCCTCCTTGGCGTAGTGCGGTAGGACCATAGGACGTTGGGGAGCTCGTCAACCCAACTTCCGCCCTCTTCTTCAAGCTTCTTCTTCAGCCCCTCCAAGATGGTTCTGTTGGCGTTCTCAACTTGCCCGTTTGCCTGAGGGTAGGCGACGGAGGAGAAACGGTGCTTATTACCCCATTCCTGAAGGAGGCTTTGGAATGGTTCGGCCTCAAACTGGGTGCCGTTGTCCGATATGATCTCCTGAGGCACGCCGAAGCGGGTGAGGATGTTCTTGTAGACAAACTTTCGACACCGCGCTCCGGTGATGCTTGCGAGTGGTTCGGCCTCGACCCATTTGGTGAAGTAATCGATGGCGACGATGATGTATCTGTTGTTACGCGCAGCTCTTGGTAGCGGGCCGACGAGGTCGATGCCCCATCTGGAAAATGGAATGGCAGTGCTGACCGGGGTGTAGTTGACGGCGGGTCGGCCAGGGGCCCTTTGATAATGTTGGCATGCGCTGCATTTACGGGCGACTTCAGCACAATCGCGTGCCATCGTCGGCCAAAAGTAGCCTTGGACGACGAGGCGGCGCGACATGCTGAAGGGCCCCTGATGTGATGAACAGACGCCGCAATGCACTTCTTCCATGGCCACCTCGGCCTCATTCTGGTGTAGGCACCGGAGGAGGGTGCCATTGTATGATCTCTTGTAGAGCTTGTCACCCTCAATGACATAGCTTGGAGCCCTGAGCTTGGCTAGTTTGGCCCTCTCCTCGTCTTCTGGTAGCGTGCCAGAGGTGATGTAGGTTGCGATGTCAGTGATCCAGTCCTCCGGCTGGTGTTGTATGGAGAGTATGGGGCTGGCGTGAATGCTTGACATGCTCAACTCCTCCACCTTCGCTATCTTGGAGATGTGCTCAGGGGTGTCGGAGCTAAGTTTGGAGAGTATGTCGGCCTCGGCGTTCTCCGCCCTTGGGATCTGAGTGATCTCGTAGGTATCGAACGCCTTGAGCAATTCCGCAGCGGCCTCCTTGTATTGCTTCATTCTCCCCTCTTTGGCCTCATAGGAGCCCTCCATCTGGTTTACTACGAGTTTGGAGTCGCATTTGATTCTGATGTGGCGTGCTTTGAGGCCAGCGGCTAGCCTGAGCCCGCTGAGGAGTGCTTCATACTCAGCCTCATTGTTGGATACTTTGAAGTTGAAGCGTATGGCATAGTATGCTCTGAAACCTTCCGGGGAGATGAGGACGACGCCACCCCCACATGCCTTGTTGGCCGATGACCCGTCCGTGAAGAGGGTCCAGGCTTCATTTGGTTCATGGTCGGTGGTGGTGACGGCCGTCTCCCTCGCTGTGGATTCCGTGACAAAGTCAGCCAAGGCTTTCCCTTTGATGGATGGCCTCGGCTTGATCTCAATCTGGTACTGGCTCAAGAATATTGCCCACTTGATCATCCTTGGAGATCTGGTTGGGCTCCTCATAAGGGCGCCCAACGGCTGGTGCGTGAGGACATGGACGGGGTGAGCCTGGAAGTAGTGTCCAAGTTTTTTCACCGTGTGGACGATGGCCAGCACCGTCTTCTCAATGGGGGAGTACCTGAGCTCGGCCTCCCGCAACGTCTTGCTGACGTAGAATATTGCTTTTTGCACCCCGTCATCCTCTCTGATGAGTACAGAGCTAATGGCCGACGTGCTCACCCCCAAGTAGAGGAAGAGAGTCTCACCGGGTTGGGGCTTGGATAGGACGGGTGGGGAGGCGAGATATTGTTTCAGCTCTTCAAAGGCTTGCTGACACTCCGTCGTCCATTTGAAGCTGGTGGCCCTCCTCATTATCTGGAAGAAAGGGAGTGACTTTTCCGCGGATTTTGAGAGAAAACGGTTCAGGGCCGCGAGGCGTCCCGTCAGCCGTTACACCTCCTTTATATTGCGGGGCGGCTCCATGTTGATAATGGCTTGTATCTTCTCCGAGTTTACTTCGATGCCCCTTCGGCTGACTAGGTACCCCAGGAATTTACCACCCTGGACGCCGAAGGTGCACTTCTTCGGGTTGAGCCTGAGGTTGTACCTCTTCATAATCTCAAAGATACCCCGGAGGTCGTCAGCATGGGTTGTGGATTGTTTGCTCTTGACGATCATGTCATCGACGTATGCTTCCATCGTCCGGCCTAAGACTGCTCTAAAAATCTGGGCTACCATCCTTGTGTAGGTGGCGCCGGAGTTCTTGAGCCCAAAGGCCATGACGAGGTAGCAAAAGATTCCCTCCGGGGTCATAAAAGCAGTCTTCTCCGCGTCATCTTCATGCATGGATATCTGGTGGTACCCTCTGAACGCGTTGAGGAACGACATCAACTCGCACCCCGTCGTCTCATCCACCAACTGATCGATGTTGGGGAGAGGGAATGGGTCCATTGGGCACGCCTTGTTCAGGTCAGTGTAATCAACACACATTCTGAACGTAGGCGGCTTTGGGGCGAGGACGACGTTCGCCAACCACGTGGGGTACTTCACCTCTCTGATGTGCTTAATGTTGAGCAGCATGGCCACCTCGGCCTTGACAAATTCCCTCCTGTCGGCTGAGAGGTAGCGCTTCTTCTGTTTGATGGGGGAGGAGGCCGGGTTCACCGATAGTCGATGTGTGATTACCTTCGGGCTGATGCCCGGCATGTCCTCTGGTCCCCATGCAAAGACGATGGCGTACGCTCTCAGGACAGAGAGGATGTCCCTTCTGGTTTGTTGGGGGAGCTGTGTCCCAATCTTCAGCATGCGTTCCGGCCGGGAGACGTCCAACGGAACATCTTCCACGTCTCCGACCGGTTCGGCCTTTGGTGTGTCT